GGGCGCGGTTTAGTTGGGCGCGGTTTAGTTGGGCGCGGTTTAGTCGGGCGTGGTTTTGTGATGGAACCCCATAAATGCAGGGTTAAAAATAAAATAAAATAAAACTCCATGTGATATCTCCAAACAGAAATAGTCAAGATGATCCTCCTCCATTCCATTCACACATTGGTAAGAACAGTGATGGCTTTATTCATGGATTGCAGAGAGAATACAATATGCAGGAGTGTGCCAAAGCCTGCCCCTTTTCTGCTTACTTTTAATTTCAGTGGGTCTTTTTCTCTCTCTCTCTTCTTGACTACTCTAGCAATAATTCTCATGTCTGCTGTTAAGTATCTGTAGCAGCAATTTCCGAACTCACATATGAAGGGAAAATAGTGAATGGAACGTTTAATAATGTGTAAAGCCATTTTTCTCAAGAGCATCTACATTGTAGGCTCAATATCATCAAGCTAAATCTTTTGGACTATCTAAGACAAAAAAGGAAAAAATGGCTCAGGAGAATGCATATGTCTAGTAGCACAATGTTGGGAGAAGCGGAGTTTTAACCCAACCTTGTTCTTCACAAACACCTTGCTTCATCATCCTGGCTCTTAATTCCTAAAGCATCATCTTAACAAATGAAATTTAGCAAGAGTACTTAAACATGATCCTATAGAAGAAAATACAGAAGGATGACACTGACTCGATTTAATAGTGTTTCTTTTATTTTCAGACTATTCAGATCCAAGAGATTTCCAAAAGTCATTAGCCCTTGTCGTGATACCTTTTATAGCAGCAATCTGGCAATGATTTCATCTGTTTTCGTGGACATCAACAAAGTCCTAATCTGCCTTATGGAAGTCACCATATTATTCAAAATAAGGTAGTCACATCACATTCTTCTCTACAGAACTAGGAGCCATGATTACTGAATGAACTCTGGATGGAGAACGGGTCAATATAACTGACCAATTCAAGGTAGGTTTGTAAGATAGTAGCACTGGAAAGATGAGAGCCAGCAAATGGGTAGTCCAGCAGAAAAAGCAGCCCAAGAAAAGCCTCAAAAATGGAGCTGGATCAGGTAGCGGATGCGACATTGATTCTCCTGATAGATCAAGTACTCACTCTGACTGAAGTGGCTGTTTTGGTACTTAGTCATAACAATGGGATTTCCTTGTGGTATCAGCACTTTTTTCCCATCCAGGATAAGCTCTTTATCATATGCAGGGTCTGAGGACATGAAAGCAAATGCAAATTAAGAAATTGAGAGGATTAGCAAGAACTAATCAGGCTACCAGTTATTAAACTGCAAGTCTTTAAACTTACCAGGTTCGGTAGTGCCACAAGCCTGGACACTATCGTAACCCACCGGGGGCTTGCACAATGAACAGTCATCTTGAGTGATGTAATGTACCTTGCCCAGGGCCACTTCATTCAGGAACATGATTCCCTCCTGGTTGGAGGTGGTGCCCACTGCAAAGAGAGAAAGGAAGACAGATGTTCATCTGATTAGATACGGAAAGGGAGCTTCCTGCCACCAGGGTTTGAGTCTCATACACTACTGAAATGCAGGTTTCCATTTCATTTTGGGACCATGACCAGATTTTCCTGCAGCCAAAGACAGTGCATTTCCTCCAAAAACAGTGCATTCATTCGTGTTAGAGAAATGTTTAAGGGTTTTTACTTTCACAGTCTACTTCTTGGCTCTAAATGGAGACATTTCACATATCCCTTGACCTCCCAAATGCATAAATAAGGAGGACATCTTATCCACCTTGACCTTTTCCCACTTGAGAAAGAGGGGAGTGGATGTAGTATAGATAGTAAGAGTTTGAAATGATGGTTCTTGGATATCTGGCTTGCATGTCCTGCATGCTTCCTGTTTACTAAATGCGGCAGTTTTCCCAATTAGCGCATAAAGGTGGCCCTAGAAGGATATACTTTTAAGTGCTGGTTTCTTAGAATCCAGCTTTACTTGCTTTGAGAAAATGCCATTTTGAGGTTCTCAACTGTTGGCCCATGAGGCGGAGACATGATTTATTAAGCTATGTTAACCTCATGGTCGGAATTAGGCAATCTATGGCCCAGCCTGACCATCCTGTCAGGTCTACAGCCATCTTTTCTTTTGGATCTTTGGCTTGCCACACTTTCTATTATTCTACTATGCATTTTCTATTGTGGGAAAATGGGAGAGGGGGAATTGTCAGATGCTATGTAGCCATAATAACATTCTTTCTAGAAAGCCAAGGTCATTCTTTGTCTTTGCACTCTCCACCTGAAGTGGAACTGGATGGGTGGAACTGCCAGCAAGGCAGTGGAAGATTGAACCATGTGATGGACTTAAGGGTGTGGGGGCAAGATCTTGGATTTTCAACTGGATGGGAAAAAACGGGAAGCTTTCAGATTCAAGTTTTCCCAGATGTGCCAGCATGGCTCTCTTAATAAACTGGAACTTTGAGCAATACTTTGCCTCGGAGTCTGATTTACTTTTGGATGCTATTTGAAATCCTGACCCTGGTGCCATCAAAACCTGACAACAAAGCAGCCTGTTGTCTATGGAGATTTTCAGTCATCCAGATCCTAGTTGTTCCAAAGGTATTTTCTTTTTGTTCAAAAGGCAACTGGATTGTTTTTTTCTTGAGGATGAAGGAGAAAATGTTTGGCTTGTTATCCCAGAAGATCTGTCAGTTCTGATGGCAGGGGGATGGAAGGATAGATAGTGACCATTGAGACTGGATAGCAGGCAGATGGAAGAATAGGTTCTGATAGGATACTGGGGAGGGGATGAAAGGATTGCATTGCTTTGCAATCATCTGGTCATTAGACCACTGAGGCCTCAGAGACTGGTAACAACCATATGATTGAAAAGCAATACAATCCATCCATTTCCCCCCATCCAATCAGAACCCATCCTTCCATCTTCCCACTGTCCAATCTCAACTGTCCCTATCTATCCTTCCATCAGAACTGATGGAACCTCTTAGAGGAGAAGCGGAACATTTACTTCTTCTTCCTCAATAAAAAATAATCCAGTTGCTTTTGGAAGAAAAAAAAACCTTTGAGAAAAGACCCAGTTGTTAAGTAGAATGAGTCCCTCTCTTCCCAAGTTCCCTAGTAACCAGAGGTCTACTTTTCCTTTCTTAAAACTTATATATTCCTCCCAGAGATGGGTTCCTGCTGGTATGTACGATTTGGCTGAATAGGTACTAACTCTGGCGGACATGTGACCGTACAGGTTCTATCCTCTACGGCTGTGTTTTTCAACCACTGTGCCGCGGCACACTAGTGTGCCATGACATAGTGTAAGGTGTGTCGTGGGAAAATTACTTTATATATAGTCAATATAGGCCCAGAGTTAAATTTTTTTAACATTTTCTAATGGTGGTGTGCCTCGTGATGTTTTTCATGAAAAAAGTGTGCCTTTGCAAAAAAAGGTTGAAAAACACTGCTCTACCGCACCATCTTGATTTTCTGTTCTGCACATGTGCAGAACTAGCTTCATTGAAAAATGTTATTTTTTCCCTTTTTTAATGTTGTGCACATGCACAGACTGTTTTAAGTGCAAATGCGCACACGCGCGGAGCACATTTTTTCAGCTGCCAAACCGGTAGTAATGGCAGCAGGAACTCACCCCGATTTCTCCCTTAAAGCAAGTGAAATCACAACAGTGAGCCATTTTGCTCCTGAATTTTGGCCTGCAGCACTAAAGCACCAGGCCAAAAACTGGGAGATCATAAGTTCTAATCCCACCCCAGATATGAACCCAGATGGGATTTCTGAGGAAGAAAAGGCAAACTGAAGACAGATCTGCTAAAAACAGAGCTGACAAATGCTGCAGAATTAAGGGCTAGTGAGTAGACCAACTCTTAGTGATTCCTTTCCAAACAAGGAGAGGACTTTAAATCACCCTCAAGTGCTCCACACCAAGGGTCTCCAACCTTGGCAACTCTGAGACTTGTAGACTTCAATTTGCAGCAAAGGCTGGCTGAGGAATTCTGGGAGTTGGAAGTTCACAGGTCTGAAAGTTGCCAAGGTTGGAGACCCCTGCTCCAGACAGTTGTTATTCACAGAGACAGTGGTCTCTTGTGGGTTTAGAGCTCTGGGAGATGAAGGAAAGCCATCTTGCTCAAATCACAGCTGGGCCTTTGAAATGACCCTGGGTTCATGTATTTCCTTTTCTAATGACTTTTGGAAATTGTTTGCTAACTAAATGCCGGAAACTTTTGGATTGATAGGTTTTATAGCATTGGGTGAGTTTCCTTTAATCCTTAGTGAAACAAAATTTAAATACAAGTTTAAGAACTTAACAAAAATATTTTTATTGAAATAAAATAGCAAAAGGGTGATTACAATTTTGATTTTGGAAATGGATTCAAAATATTATTTTTGAATTATAAGAATCTTTCCATGGGAAAATGCTTTTGTTTTGAATTCTTTCTTTAAAAAATATAGGAGGGGACTTTGAAGTTTGGATACTAAAGGGACTTGAAGGAACTAAAGATTTTAATTAATTTAATTAATTTCACAGAAATTAATGCAGAAATATTTTAACATTCTATATTTTGAGGGATATTTTTTAACAATGAACTCAAAAGTTAATTTTAAGATTGTCTGCCTCTTTAGAACGACTGTTTAAAAGATGTTAAGTAAGAAGAACAAGTTTTACTGGAGAAGCCTGAGGCTGATCTGAAAGTGGATTTAAAAATGACAGGCTACAAGGAAGACATGCAGAAACATGCTGAACTGGACATATGAAATAAACTGACTTATCAATAATTAAAAGGAATATACAAATTAGAAACTGAGAGTGACCTGGATAATTTACAAAAGAGGCGTGTTAAAGTTTTGAAGAATTTGTGAGAAGGGATAAAGAAAAAATTAAAATGAATCAAGTTCTAGAACATTATTTGAAGGAATTAAAGATCAAGATTGTTAAAAATAAAAGGAGGGAATATAAAGTTGGTTTATTTGATCAAGTTTAAATAGATATGTTTCTATCTCTGGTAACTCTTTACGGACTTTTGCTGATCAGAACTAAAATGATGAGCTTTTAAGGATTTGTTTATAGGTAAAAGATGGGATACGGGAAGAAAAGTTCATTTGGTGTATTTTAAAACAATATGTTTATACTTTGTGAAGAAGTCATTTTTTTCTTTATTGCATTCTTATTTTTTTCTTTACTGCACTTTCTATTTTTCATTTTATTGTTTTATTTTCTAATTTGTATTACAGTCTTTTTCATTGTTCTGTCATTCATAATAAAAGTATTATTATTTAAAAAAAAATTAGGCATGAAACCAGCTGGATGACTTTGGGCCAGTCACTCTCTCTCAGCTCTAACAAGGAGATAATGGCAAACCACTTCTGAAATCTTGCCAGGAAAACTGCAGGGATTTGTCCGGTGAGTTGTTCAGAGTCAACACTGACTCAAAGGTACGCACATGTGCAGAAAAATGATAAAGCAAGTATCAAAACAATACTTTTTCAGGTATTTTAACATGAATGTGATATTGGGAGATAAATTATTATTCCACATGGGAGAAAGTGACTAGCCCAAGGGCACTCAGCTGGGTTGTGTATAAGGTGAAACTAGAACTCACAATCCCCTGATTTATTGTATGATGCTCTAACCATTAAAGCAAGCTGGCTCTCATATATATAGTCCCCATGTATACATGCTTATGTACAAGTATGTATATAGTGTATACATGCGTACATCTATACACATACACATATACAGAAATACTTGTTTATGTGTGTGGTTTAGCTACTACACCAAATTGGCACTCTTGTCTCTTCTTCCCTTCTCCTTCCCTTGTGTCTTAGGATACAGGAAACAGTAGCGAGGAGACAATGGGAGAGCAGCAAATGATAGAATAATAATGAATATGGCCTCACCGTAGCCTGCTGATTTACTATTCTCAGAAGCAAAATAAATTCCCTTGCCAACACGACCACCAGAATGGGGCATGATGCGCAAGCCACTCTTCAGGATGGCAGCAACGACAGCTATGTTGGTCCCATGCCAGAGTAGACGCCGATTTCCCAAGTGGTCATGAGTCTTAAAACGTTGGCTCTGTTTTAGGAAATGAAACAAGAGAACTGAGCAAGTAACATCTTTGCTCCTCTTCAAGTCATATTTGAATAAAGGAAAGGTAGAAAGCCAAACATGGCTTTCCCATGTCACGCAGTTGAACTGCAGACTCATCTGCATACCTGATTGGTCATGCCAAGGTATATATAGATACATTTGCTATTGCAGAAAAGAATGATACTCCTAATTAGTAAATTTCCTTGTTTTCTGCCAATGGATACATATCGTCCTTTAAAGTCTTGATGTCTCACAATCAAAAATGGTCTTATCATCTATCTGCCCCTCCTCCCCCAATGTCTCAGGAGGTCAGATGGACTGCAGGGCTTTTGATCTCAATCAATCTTTTGGTAAATCAAAAATATTTGTTCCTCAATTGGCACATGCCAAGGACTAAAGAAATATGGCCTTAATATTTTTGGTACCAATTCTGATTATATGTTCCTATTCACAATCTTCCCCAACCTGGCACCCTTTATATGTGCTGGATTAACCCTGCTTCCTTCAGACAACATGATATTAAGGTAGAAAGAAACAAATCTCAGCCCTAGAACAGACCAGGGAAGGAGATATGCCTCTTTGATCTTACCTCACCCTCTCTGTTCACCTTCCAAATATTCATGATACGAAGCTTTCGGTAAGTGCTACCCGTGTTCTTCACGTAGGTTTCAATCAGCTAGTAGGGTAGAGAGGAAGAGAAAGAAAGAAAGTGAACATCAAAGAATTGAGTTAAATAGGAGATGTGTTGCTAGCTGTGGAAGAAGCTATCACACCTGTTGTCCTTAATCCTTTATTCACCTGTTCCTATTTTGCCCAGTCACAGCTGTTTCAGTGCCACCTCAATATTTAAAGCAAATAAGAAGCAGGTTGTAGGGCCATCTTACCTTATAGTCCTCAGATGATGGATCCACTAAGGTGAGCTCACATTTCAAAAGCCCGTAGTCCTTGTCCAGCGGATGCAGAACTTCTTTCACCCTTTCCTTCTCTTCCTCTTCCTCCTCCTCCTTCTTTTGGGCTTGTAGACTCTGGGCCACTTCAATATCTGCCAGGACCTACCAATAAAGTAAGCCCAGTCATCACCAACACTAGGATGCAGATGAGATGCACATGGAAGCAGAAATCTCACATGTGGGCTATTATCCTGTATCCATTTCCTGATGAGCCAGTCCCACTGAAACTAAGAGGGCAATTATTTGGAATAAACACATTTAGGAACATTCTACTAGCAATGAACTGAACTAGTTGAATGCATGGATATGCTGGCTTGAAAAGAAGAATAGCAAACTTCTTTTTTTTTAAATTCAAAATTATGTTTTAGTTATTGGATTTACATCCCATGTTTCCTGAAGTGCACAGCACTCCAAATTTTCCTCAGCACGATCTCTCTGTCAGGTAAGTTGGACTAAGAACTAGTGAGCTTTTATGCCCAAGCGTGGACTTCCACTTGGATTTCTTTGTCCTAGTCCAATAACTTAACCATTATCTTCATTTTATACTATAGAAGTATAGATAGATAATCTATACCTCCATGGCAAAACGTTTATTAATTAAGCATCATTTGAGAAGTGTGTTTTGTTCAGGCTGTTTTGTTCTATGTGATACATAAGTGATTCCAGTAGCTTTCTCTTCCATTATAAAGCATATCACCACTAACCTAGATGTCCAAGGGCAATTATTAGGAAGTGCTCATCTTATCCAACTTATTATATTTCCCTTTTAAAATTTAGGGCTAATATGAACACAAAGAGGCTACAATTCATGAGATGGAAGGGTGTGAAATACTAGAGCTGTATTTCACCAGGATGACTGAATTCTTATCCTTTAAAGAAAAAAATGCACAAGTCTTCTGTAGTTAGGAGCTACCCCTTTGAAAAATGTGATTTTTGTTTTACAATCAAGAACTACAGAAGCATGGTGGTGATGAGATGTTGCCCTCGGAGAAGACAGGGCAAGAATCATCACCTTTTCTCAATTTGGGAGTGCTTTAGTTGGTGTTAGGTGCCTTATTAGGGTGTTACTTATGCTTTAATTATAGTAAAATACAGGTAGTCCTTGACTTATGACCACAATTGAGCCCAAAATTTATGTTGCTAAATGAGAAATTTGTTAAGTGAGTTTTGTCCCATTTTACGACTTTTCTTGCCACATTTGTTAAGTGAATCCCTGCAGTTGTTAAATTAGTAACATGTTTGTTAAGTGAATTGACTCTTCCCCATTGACCTTGCTTGTCAGAAGGCTGCAAAAGATGGTCAGAAAATTACAACCATCATAAATATGAACCTGTTGTCAAGCATCTGAATGTAAATCACGTGACAATGGGGATGCTGCAACAGTCATAAGTGTGAAAAATGGCCGTAAGTCACTCTTTCAGTGCCATTGTAACTTCGAATGGTCACTAAACAAACATGTTGTAAGTTGAGGACTACCTGTAGTATACATTTTAGAAAATTATCAGAAATTGGCAGAAAATCATACCATCCTTATCTGAAGTGTTATACTGAATTTCAGCTGTGCGATTTTAGAGGAACGTGAGGGCAATCACAAAGGAGTTCAAAGATTGAACGGAGGGAGCGGAGACAGGACCTGATGACACGACATGCGATCTCTGAGCTTCGAGATCACATCGATACTTTCGCCACTGGACGGTCCTTTTGGACCTAACCCGTCCCGAAGGGATGGTGACAGGGAAGAGTACATCTTGCTGATCTCAGGGATACTGTAAAATCCCTGATTGATCCAAGAGAATCTCTTCTTGCCGGCAACAGAAGCGCAGCCAAAAGCTGCTGAAGTTGGGACAGCTCCGCAACGGGAGGAAAGCAGAAAGAGAAAATGTGTCCAACACTGCCCCCCAAAAAATTAAAGCTACATTAAATTTGAAAACAGAAGAAAATTAGCGGTGAAATTAAGCTACATTGGACAGTGTGTTATCTTTTTTTAAAATTTGCTTTTATGGATGGAATTTTTGCAAATATTTCCTATTTTTTAAAATGAACAGATTAGTTTTTCTTCTACTTTTTTTACCTATGGATTAAAATCTTTTTTTTTTCATAATACTGGTTTGGATGGGTTTTTTTTTTACTTTGCTTCACTTAAGAATTTTGTTTCTTTTAAGCCTGGAATATAATATCAGCTTGTTTATAGAGAATGATAAGGAGAAGAGCATGAGTTGTTGATACAGGTGCTGTTTGGGAGCTTCATTGGCATTTGGAGAGATGTGAAAACAAAGCATTGTTTTGAAAGATTATAAATGAACTTTTGTCAAATCTAATAAAAAGTTTTGAATGCTAGAGTGGCAGTGTTTACCAGTTGGAAGAATGGCACAAATTAACATTGCAAAAGATTATGTTTGAAATTCAAAAATTATTAGACGTAACAGAGAAAATTGAGAAGAGATTGGAAAACATAG